ACCTTGGCGTCACCCTATCACACAATTTACCATGGTCACAGAACGTTCAAAACATTCTGCAAAGTTAGAAAGCTTTCATATTTCTCACTCCGATTGAGATTACTTTCTGTTCCCCACAAGCTGATTGTTAGATTTGTGAATGCNTTTTATTTACTGGCGAGATCTCTGAAACACATCTCTAAATGTAGTGGCATTGTAAGGGATAAACTGGCCGATTCCATCATTGCCAGACACCTACAAGCATGTGAAAATTTCGCCGCCAAAATACTCTCAGACACTCACCACCCATTACACAATGAATTTTCAAAAGCTGTATCTACATCATCCACACGCTCCAGATTTGAACTTTTATTTGCACGTACCTGTACTTATCGCAATTCTGTTCTGCCATATCTAGCACGTCTACTTATAGACAAGGACACAATATCCACAGAATTGCGCAATTGCTTGCTTTATTGAGAAACACAATATCAACTGCTTTCATTGTGTTCACTATGTACGATTTTGTAAATTTGAATCCACAAATATGGTGTAATTGTTGAAAATACACCCATCCGGGTGCATAAAGCTACTGCTGACTTGACTTGACTTGATAAATTAATTCAAATCAGAAACAATAGACGGGAGATGTATTTTAGCGTCAATATCGTAATGTTGAGTGAAAACTAAAGTTAAATGCAAGTCTCGCTGAAATGTTAAAGTAATCACTTGCTTAACTTTTCGTCAAATTCGTTTCATATTTATTATTCACTTGATTTCTCAATTGGCTGTTCAACTAACTGCACGCTCATTCAAGTTCGAACCCATTTACGTTACCTGCTTGAATTCATTCGATTGAAGCAAATGATCTCGGGTTGATTCTGATTCAATCGATTCGGTTGGCGTGCATAGAAACAATCCATAGAACTGGATTAGTTTCCCTAGTAGGAGCCTTGCGCTAATGTAGAATCATTCTCTACTTTTTAATTAATATAGCAATGACATGTTTTATTGGTTGCATGAACCAAGTTGTTGTTAAACGATAAATCGCCGTGATATGCCGGCTAACCCAAGCACAAGCCCAACACAAATTTTGAAATCATCAAAAGTCGTCCACAGCCGGTCAGAAAATGAAACAATGAATCACTACTTGTAGTAACATTCGAAGTTTTTTTAACCTGCGACTTAACAAAGCTCCCAGTAAAACAAAGCGATACCGGTTGCAAACATTTCATTTTGAATTGTACCTTCAGCTAGAGAAAATGAGTGATTAGCTATGAACCGCTTTTTGGGCCTAAATCAGTGTAGTGAAGGAAAACGTCAACGCGAGCGATGATGCTGACAGAGTGTTCCTTTTATCGTTTATTGTTCAACATAATATGCCAGATAAAACTTTTTCTCATTCTTATAACAAAGTGGTTTATTCGACCACTACAATGACTTACAATAGAAAAACTATGTAGGTACAAAGTTAATTCGCTTAGTGCATCCATGACATTTTCTTCTGGGAGAGGGATCGTATCTCGAATTTGATCTGAACCGAAAACAGTGATGAGAATTTTAACTCCCTGAAATCTTTCAGAAAACCACACACCACACACACACAAACCAATATTAAAATATACATAGTAAACTTGACGTACGGAGTCAGATGACCTTGGACAGCGACGTTGTCGTACGCAAATCTTGGGCAAACTGCTCTCTTTCAGTCCGGTTTTATTCGGACCATAATCTCTCAGGCCAGGTATTCCATGCGTGATTGAGGAGAGAGAGGATAGCTCACGTGACCAACGGGGATTTGTCGGAACCATGACAGAATCAGATGTTGAGGAGCGAGGCATACAGTTCGAGGTGCCAAGCTAAAAGTGTATTGGAATTTCGGTCAGTTAGATCAGAATTCTTAGATATCTAATGAAGAAATGAATTTGACTGACCAATTTCTTGTACTGTTGTTTTCATTGCTTTGTTTGAGTTTATACAACCCGCAACCTTGCATTTTAAACAAACAAGAAAGCTGGGATTAGTATCAGAGTGAAGACAGAGCATGTTTGCAAAGAGTAGACGCATTAGTAACGACTCTTAGCCGTATCATTCAGTATACCTAAAATCGATTAGACTGATCCCAAGGTCATCAACCTCGCAACCTAACACGATCTATTAAACCCCGTTCTTTGGTAAGTGTTTTTAAACTCGCGTGTCAGGTTGTAGTTTGACAAGCATTGACTTTTTACACTCACCACCTTCCGCGGTAAACAGTGCTTGTTAAGAACGTTTATCAGTTGACATGTCTAACAGAACCCAGCTCCAGTCAGTGCTATTGCCTAAGGTCAAACACTTGCTCCGTGGGAGACCACGACTGCTTCAGAATGTGCTACCACAGTTGCACCACCAGACTTGAAAAATGCGGCATAGACAACCGTGGTCGAACATCCGCAGTCTTTTATTCCGTTCCACTAACGACATAGCGGCACCGGACGAACTGCTGAAGTACACACTTCACAGTAGAAGTTAATTTAAGACGATCTCAAGAATGGTGGATTTTGTACACATACTTTAGCAGTCTGATGCAAGTACCTAATCCACTCCAGCTGAGCTTCTCAAAGCTAAAAATATGATGACCCGTAGGAAACTCAGTTCATCCATCACACAACACCTTAATCGAAATGAAGCACTGCCATGCTGCGTGACGCGCTTAGAATCTTCGACAATACAAACAATACCAGGATTCTGAAATACACCTAGGCGCTAGCCACTCGAAATTACCATCCCAAACTGCGTAAACAGCCTCCAAATACCTCAGTATGGTCGCGAGTGGGTGTCTCGGGCTCCGAAATAGCCAATAGACCCGAACTTCTCTAGAAAAGCTCTCGAATAACCAAGCCCCTCAAATAGCTTCTGCTGATGAAGTCCTACCTACCGCCTTTTCGTGGCAGAGGTGTTGACACTAAAGTGGGGGGCCAAAGGCAAATGTCCGGCGCTTTTCATCGGGCTGACTGACCATTGGTAGTCAATCTAGGGGAGTTAGCTAAACTCTGATCCCAC